GTATGGGCTATATGTATGGAGGTATAGGGTTGGGATATATGCATGGGGCAGTATAGAGTATGTGCATGGGGGTGGTATAGGGCTGGGTTGTGTGCATGGGTAGGTATGGGATAGTAGAGGATACGTGCATCAGGGGCAGGGTAGGGCTGGGGTATGTATTGGGGTGTGCTGTGGGGCAGTATGGGGTATATGGACATAGGAGCAATGTAGGGGTAAGGCGTGAGGGGCTATATGTGTGAGGGCGCAGCGTAGGGGAGGGGCGATGTGGAAGCAGAGCATGGGCGGGGGGCTGTGTAGGGAGGCGTATAGCATATATAGGGACATATGGGGGTGCGGGCAGGAGGTCGCTGCCTGCTCAAGCAACCCCACTCCCTGCGCATGGAGTTATTCCCGTGTGTAAGGCTCTGCCCTGCTAATCCCGGTTTAAGGCACTGACGTGCATCCTGGTTGTGCTCTCCAGTCACCACCCTGACTCCTCTGCATTGTTTCTTCATTAACTGCTGCCTCTAATTCCCCGTCCCTCCTGCACCGACTCTCTCCCCTCGTTTTTTTTTTTTTTTTCCCCTCTATTTTCTTCATTAATTATTATGTCTGTAGAATTTTTTCCCCCTCTTGTTGTCATTTAGCAGTGCCAGCTCTCTGTGACAATAAATGCCTTACAGATGGAGGAGGCTTTTCCTTAAAGCCCTGACTCTCAGACCTGATTATATGACACTGCTTCCATTTTAATGAGGTAGTTTTATTATTTACTTGAAAGGCTCAAAACCTGCAGAGAAATTAAAATAAAGCATCTGTCTATATTTTATTTGATGAACCCACTAGTTAAATCTCCTCCATCCTAGTTTCTCCTGTGTATTATTTGAGTTAGGCTTGCAAAGAAACTTCTGGTTGCCATCTGTGCTTTTAATTTAGCATCACCATTCACAAATAATCCTTTTAGCTGCTAATAGATCTGCTTATTCCTTTTCCTCTCCTTCCTCCGGCCGCAGCACAAGGAGGGGATGGCTTCTCCTTCCTAGCCCTCCCCAGCTGATGTGGTAGCAGATTTCCTCGCTGATCTGGAGTTCCCAAGGATGACCGAGGCCAGATGCTCTCTGAAATGATCCCGGTTTGATCTGTCCTTGTAGAGAGGAGCTAACTAAATTTGCCTCTTTTCCTTTTTTTAGTTGATTCGGGATGAAAACAAGAGGCTAAATAAGGCAACAGATGCAGTGGAGAAAAGGGGACCGTACCTCATGAGCAAGCCTCCCTCTGTTCACACCAAGCTCCGTAAGTGACACTCGGTGTCATCTGTACCTCTCATGAGTGTGACCAAAAGCCTTTTTATTCCTCAGTGAGATAAAATATTAAAAAAACCATAAAAATCCATAGGTGCTGCATGTGGAAAGCACTGCAATGCCCTCATCCTCTCCCTGGGACTCACCTGCAATGCCACCCACCTAAAAAAACCAAAAAGACCCTTGGGAAGCGTTTGGATCTTTGCAGCTCTGCCCCTCTGCTTGGCTTTCAGAGCGGCAGCGCGAGCTGGCCAAGGCAGCACTGCGAAGGCAGGGGCTGCTGGGGGGACCTGCACCACACCAGCCAAAGCCGGCGGCTAAAAGGTCTGATCTCGTTTTACTTTTCCTGAGATACAATTTTTTTTTTCTTGTTCCTTGGGGAGATTGGGAAACTCAGAGGATTAAAAAAATGAGGCTGGGACTTTCATCTCCTAGCTCCGTTGCGGTCAGCAAGCATCTGATAGAATAAAAAGTAGCCTTTTTCCCACAAAAGTTTTGAGTTGCTCTACCAGGCTGCTGCTTCTCTTTGTTTGGGGGGTGGTTTGGTGTTAAGGATTTAATCTGGAGCTTAAATGGGAGTTTATTCTTAGCTGGTGGTGGCCCTGTACAATGTCTGGGTGGGAAGGGACATTCAGGACGGGTATTCCTGCCCTGGCTCCTCAGTCCATCAGCTCTGTGGTTGTGTTTTCACACCAAAATGCCCATCATGGGCTCGTTCCTCTGCTTTCTTGCAGGTCGGTGAAGTTTAACAAGGGCTACACGGCGCTCAGCCAGACGGCAGATGAAAACCTGGTCTCCCTCGATTCGGATAGGTGGGGACTGAGTGGATAACCCGGGATTTTGGACAGAGAGTGTTTCAAGCTCAGAGCTGTTTTTTTTTGGGGGGGTTGATCTTCCTTGTCACTTGTAGAACATTCCCAATTGCACGGGGCACTTCTCAGCAGCAAAACACTCCCTTTGTCCCACATTTAACAAATCTCTTGGGATTATGCTGCCGGCTCCCTTTTCTCCCCCTGAGATTCCCTTGTCTGCATCCCAAGCAAAGCCACTGCTTCCCAGTTGGCTCTGACCGTTTCCTTTTTCTCCTAGTGACGGGGAGCTGGGATCCAGATGTTCCTCAGGCTACTCCTCCGCCGAGGCAAGTTCAGGGGTTTGACCCCGAGCACGCGGTCCCCGCGCGTTCCCTTGTCCCCATTACACCTCAGGAGCTGTATAGGGGCTGCAGTGAAGCATCACCCCTCTGGGATGTGTTACCTGTGTGTCCATCCCACAGAGTTTTGCTTTCACCTATTTAAGCCACACGTAAATCTCCCTTTTGCAAGCCCCAGCTGGCTTCACCCTTTGCATTTAAAGCATCTTCTACCCCCAGACCCCACAGCGGGGCAGCTCTGATGAGTTCCATCATGCAAAGGTGGTGCAGCCGATGGGGTGTTTTGGGGTGCACAGGGGTGTGTGTTGGGGTGCTGCAGCCCAGGAAAAGCTCTTTGGTCTTTTGCTTTCATCTTCTCTGCTCTGGTTGTGCCACTTCTCCCTGTGCAAAGTCACTGGAGGGAGGATGCAATGGCCTTTCTGCTTGCAGCCCTACCCTTTGCAAGCCTCAGAACCTAAATTTTAACTAAACTGGGACTAATTTTAACCAGGTCTGTCTCCTTTGCTCCTTCCCCAGAAGGTGAACCAGGACATGAGCCGGCAGCTGCTGCAGGATGGGTACCACCTCGATGAGGTCCCTGATGATGAAGACCTGGATCTCATCCCCCCAAAACCCGTCACCTCCTCTTCTTGCCCCTGTTGTTTTGGAGAAAATCTCTCCTGCGTGATCCAGTAGACACTGCTCGGCTGGGGCTGTGCAACAACAGGTCAAAAAACAGCACTTTCTTTGTCCCATGGATGGCTGTTGGTGTCGGTGTCCCATGCTGGGATGGTGACACAAGGACTGAATGATGCTGTGGTGCTGCTTGTGGTCGAGTGGCAGCAGCCAAGCAACCCCAAAGGACTTACACTCAGCAATATCAGGGAGAGGTGGCACAGTGACATTAGGTGGCCTGGATGGGGTGGGGAGGAAGGGGAGGCAGAGCCCGGGCACTTCTGTTGGGGTGTAAAGGGAAGGAATTGGGAGGGACAGCAGCAAACACTCCTGGGTTTGCCTGACCTCCTCTTTTCCTCCTTTCATTTGCCACGTTGAGGATTAGGACCTGGCCCCAGACATGGGTTGTCCTTCCCAGCCCTCCCTAAGGAAGAGGTGGTTGATGGTGGGGTTGAACTGCTGTGGTGCAGAACCCGAAACCCTTTTTCTATTTATTTTTGCTGTAGTCACCCCTCTACCCTGGCAGGCTGAGGCCAAGCCAGTGAGGTTGGGATTGACTGGCAGAGAGCTGCTTCGTTTCCCTATCTCATGCTGCTTGCAATGAACTGCTGCTGGGTTCCCTTCTCCCAAAGCCTGGGCTGATCTGAACCAAAGATTGCTGCTCCAATGGAGAAGACAAGGGGGAAAAACCCAACAGAGCGGGTCCGGGCAGGCTGCTGAGCTTTGTGTTTGCATTTGTTATATCCACCAGCAGCTACTGCTCGGGCTGGGACCTCCCTGCTTTCCACCTCTTGAGGGACCTTTGAACTCCATCAGTTCTGGGTTTGGAGCTAATGGCTTGCTCTAGTTCTTCCCAAAGGTGCTTTCATGCAGGTGAGGGGCAGCACAGATCCCCTGTGCCAGCTCTGCACGGCTTCTTTGGGCTGCGGATTTGGGGTGGCTGAGGAGCCTGCCTGCTGTGAACTTTACAAGCTGCCTTAAATCAGGGTCCTGCTCTACTACATAGAGGACAATCAGCTTCTTAGAAGGAAACTGTATTTAAATATTTGATGTCTAGAGACCTGAACTGGGCTTTTTTTGTATTTTCTTTGTTGAAGGGAACACTCAATAAACTGGATCTCATTACTTAGAGGGTTTGTTGGTGCTTTGGCAGGGGGCTGAGCCCCACTCCTGCCAGTAGCCCCATTTGGGAGGGCTCCTTCCCTGACCCCAGCACGTTTTTTGGAGCGATGTGATTTCCCTCATCACATTTTACCCCCGTGTCCCGTTTCCCTGCGGAGCTGCCGTGGCCACCGGGGCCAATGCTGCCGCAGGGTGATGCAGTGAAGGTGGCAGCCAGCACCTACACCACGCTGCCCTGTGCCGAGGACAAAGTCACCACTTTATTCACAGCACTGGAGGCTCTCCAGCTCCATCACTCCCCCAAACAGCCCCTTTTTACAGCTGGGGAAGGGGCGACATGGCTCAGAGGAATGCCTGCCATCAGCCAGGCTTGGGAAGAGCCCACCAGGCACCCAGGAGCAGCAAAAAACCTCAGCATCACATTTGCAGGAGGTAGCAGCAGCTCCTGGAAGCCAGGCAGAGATGCTCATGAGCTGGGGTGCAGATCTGAGGCCTCCCTGCTGCTTCTCAGTGAGAAGGGGAGAGAAAAAAAAAAAAAATTAAGTTGCCATATGGCATGAGGAACACCCAGAGGGGATGATGCTACAGGGATGTGGCCAAGGGAGATGGCTGTTCCTCTGCCTGCTCTGCTCTGTGCCATGTCCAAGGAGCTGATTTGTAGAATTGCTCTTTCTATACATCGGGTCTGGGCTGGTTTTGAGGTTTAATATGTGGATGGGAGACTTCCAAGCTTGATGACTTTGGCCACGCCAGTTTCTATCTACTCAGATGTGGAGGGGAAGGTGTCCAGGTCCTGCTCAGAGGAGGCAGCAGGCTGTGAAGATCAGCATCCCATCTGGAGAGGAAAGGTGGAGGGAGATGCTCTCGTTGGCAGAGATAAAAAGCACGGAGCCACGATGCAGAGTCATTTCAGAGGCTGCGGCTGTGGAGGTGCCTGTGGCCGTCCCTTGGATCACCAGCAAGATGCTGGCAGAGTCCACAGCAGAGACGAGGTACAGCTTGATGGAGGGAGGGATCTGCAATAGAAAGGGTCACCGTGGCTTGAGTCTCCCCCAGCTTTTCTTCTCTTTGGAGAGCTGGAAGGTTGTCATCTCCATTGCCAGCCTGCAGCTGCCTTTGCTGTCCCCAGGCCACCCTGTGCCTCAGCAGCCCACGTCTGGGGACCTTAGTTTAGCTGAGATCACCCGAGCTGCACCCCTGAGACCTCCTCCTGATCCTCCCTCTGCCCAGAGCTGCTGGAGAAGATGAGTGAGCTCTAGGCAAGGGGGAATAGGAGAGGGAGAGGAGCCTGCAGTGCTGCTTGGGGGCGA